ATTAATCGGCGCGCAGGTTGCCGGCGCCGGCCAGCCTCCGGCGTCCCTTCTAGCCGACGTAGATTAAATAATCCAGCGCGACGGCGTTGTGATTATTTCGCAGGGACATCGGCGTCGGCAGATCGATTTGTCTCCCCTTCGTTCCCTAGTCTACCTCAGCCCTCAGAGTGTATCACAAATAAGACGGTCACGTAAGTGGGCCTTCGCGTACGTGAACAAGGCCGCCGAGGGCAAGGACACCCTCAACTGGCTCATGGACTACGCGACGCCCGGCTTCTTCGACGACAGCGGCACCTACGACTCGAGCTACGGCAACATGACCAAGGGCGAGATGGACATGTTCGACCAACACCCAGTGTGCCACCTTCTACGGCCCTCCAGCTGCCGATTGGCCAGAACGGGTGGTTCACAGGCTTCGTTGACCCTGTGTTGCAGCTGGTTTGACCACTCATTTTGAGCAGGTCGCGACTCAGGGGTAGTTAGTTAGTACTACATGCTGTCTGAGGGTAGTCTACCGCGTGCCCCCTTTTTTTTGTACTGCCGAATGCAATTACGAGTCGTTAACTGAAATGTGAGGTCCCATTTTTACGAGCATTCGCAGGTTGGTAAAACAATGCGGCGCGAAGCGGGTCCCGGCACGGGCACCGTCTCACTTATCCGTGCATCGATCCGTGCAGCGCACAACGGAAACAGTAATCGTGCTGAACGAGTCCTGCATCCGAGGCGATCTGGAAGGAGTGTAGAGCCAGTAAGTAGCGAGCCACGCATTGAGCTAAAGGTCGGTGTCCGCCTATTCCGCACCCGGGAGCATAGGCTCGTAGGCGCATTCGATGCCCTTGTATACAGACCAGGCACACAAGGGGTCTATACCACCGAGCTCATCTCGGGGGGGGCAAAATACCAAGGCGACTCGTGTCCGATGCTCTGCGTCTCTGTGTCGCGGAAATAGCTTGACGCATGTACCCCGGCCTTAGGCAGTCACGGACCGATCGCGTGACCTACGTGAGATCCAAGATGCATTTGCCGGCGCACGTACGATTTTGACCTCTATCAATTAAGTTCTACTTTGTAGGTGGAAAAAGCAGCTCCAGCACCAGTGTCGCAGCATAGTAATTACACGTTCCCCTCTCGTGGTCTCCAGACTAATCGGGAGTCGGCTCGTACATCATCACAAAGGCACATAGATGTGAGCAGGAAGCTGTCTAGAACATTTTCATCCACTATGTTAGGTTTCATTGGGTGGAACTCAACTGACCTCCGGTGAGCGACGGTCATCATCATTCACACAAGCCCAAAATTTAAATCAAGAGAAGCAACAGTCAGTATTTCAAGGTCTTAACCATACTGTAAACGCGGTAAGTGGAGAGCGGCGGCCAAGCACAGCATCTGCATGTCTTGGAGTAGAGAGTGGGAGGCGCGAGGGGAGCATGAGTGCTGACGATAAAAGACAAGCAACCCGCGCAGACAGTTTTGGCGGGGGGCGAGATGGGCGCAAAGGCATCGGGAGTGTGGCTGTTACTAACAGTGCAACCAAAAGCAGTGACGTTGCTTCGCCGGGCATTGATTCATCAGAGCTGGGTGTCAAAGGTGTGAATAGCACAAACCCACCAAACTCCAATTCCGGAAAAAGAAGCCTGTCGTCGCCTGGATCCGCGTGTACAGAGGCGCCTCTATTGACAGGAGAAAGGGCGATTTCACCCGCAAATTTGGTGGTCTTTCCTACTGGCAAACAACGTCGCGACGTGGTGATGCAACCCTCCAACGCAACTCCTGCTGAAGTATTGTCCGGGGACACAGGTCAATTGCCTGACAATAGTCATGTATTAGCATCCGGTAGACGCATACCTGAGGTGAGCATAGATGGAGCACACGCTGATATAGACGGTGGCGGACTGTCGCAGCGGTCAGCACGTCGGCGAGGCCACCCGCACCGCGAGGTGAGTGCCGAGAGGCTAGATTCTTGGAGCGAGGTGATCGGACCTGTAAGATCACGTGCACGGGGTAGTGTTGATGACTCCTGGTACCTTGAGAACGAGAAGAAAGCTCAAATAATTTCACATGAACCTCAGCGAGGTCACGCTGAGCTCCCATCCACCCGGAAGTCAATCGATGCGAATTCCCAGCCAAGTGTTGATACCCTAACTGGCAGAAGCAAGCCGCCAACAAGCCTTGGCAGTGGGAGAGACGGCACCGAGCGTCGTGACTGCAACAAGGATCGGGATAGGGAGAAACGTCGAGAGTCCCAAGGCAGCAATCATCCAAGTATAGCCCAAGTAACAGGTGAGAAGCCACCCTCAGACGGGGTCTTTTTTGCACAATACAAAGGCCATCCCGAGACACTGGTTGTATATCGATCACCAGAGGAGCGCGCAGCCAACCCAGAGCGACTGAATCTAGATCGCCGTCACCTAACTGTCTGTCCTATCCTCAAATCCGAAGAACGCGTGCGTTTGCTTAACTACCAAAACAATTACATCGAAGAGATCCGCCATCTGTCTCATTTGCCCAACCTGATCTTCTTGGATTTGTACAATAATTGTATTGAAAGCTTGTCGCGTGACCTTGAGTGCGTTCCCACACTGCGAGTGTTGATGTTGGGGAAGAATCGCATCAAAGCTATCTCTCATCTCGAGAAGCTGGGTAAGCTCGATGTCCTTGACCTTCATTCGAATGCAATAGCAAAGGTAGAGCACCTTGGCGCACTATCAGAATTGCGAGTCCTGAACCTTGCGGGTAACCGTCTCACCGAGCTTGATGAGCTTGGTAGCCTACAATCCCCCACAGAGCTTAATGTGAGGCGCAATCAAATCGTCAAGGCTTGCTCACTGCAGCAATTACAGTCCCTCCAGCGCGTCTTCCTGAGTAACAATCGAGTCCAATCATTTGACGCGGTTGCTTGCCTTTTTGATGTTCGTTTCCTTATGGAGCTCAGCATGGATGGCAATCCTATTGCTCTGCAAGATCCACATGCTTATAGGCGCTTCGCTGTAGAGCGTGTTAAGACACTCCGGCACCTTGATCTGAAAAGAGTCACTGATGCTGAACGACGTGCAGTTGCCCTGGAGTCCCAGAAAGAGGATGAAAGGAGACGAGCCGCGGAAAAGCATGAAATGCTCGAACTTGAGCGACGCAAGTTACAGGCTGAGCGCCACGAGGCGATCCGTGCTGCAGAACGCCAGTGGATCGACCGGACCGGACCCAAAGATCACAACCATAATTCAAGCTCGCGAAACGGCGCTTCCCGTATCAACGGCGTCTGCCATCCGAGTCGAGATCACGGAGAGAATCGGCCGTCTTCATCTGGATCGGTATTGTTGAACAATACCATTGCCTCCAATGGACACCCAATCGGTGGCTCCTGCGCACTCATGCACGACAGTGATGATGCGCTGGGTAGTGATGAGCGTCCATGTGACGATGTCGTCTACTTGCCGCGCGGGGACCGACAATCTTCAAAACGTACTTCAGCGAATGGCGCCATACAAGCACTAGCATCGCCGTCCTCGTGCATTTCCACATTTCCAGCAACAGGTGATGCATCAAAGACTCGACCGGACATTGATAAAGGATCTCCCGCCAAGAGGCCCCCCAATCCAAACCGCATGGCTCCAGCAGCAGGCTACTACGAAGTTGAGATAGGGGGTGTTCACCGCGAAGAGCGTGCTCTCCAGCTGTACGGAGAAGCTTGGGAATGCCTAGAATCACCGAAGATCATAGGATCATCGACAGCCCTAGTTTGTCGCTTCGTCTCTGTGGAACGTATAGTCGAAAAGCTCCGCCCTCACGCTCGCAATTTTGTGAGGCTGAAGAAAGCCACCTTTGGAGACAACGCCATACACACACTCCGCCATGTCTTGCAGCTTGCTAGCGTCTTGCACAGCAACCCATGCCTCGTTGAGCTCAAGATTGAGTCCAATCCGGTGTGTTCCCTCAGACTTCTGAGGCCCTTAATTTGTGCTAGTCTCCCAGCTGTCGAGTGTTTCAATGGTACTGCAGTATCATCCAAAGATCGGATACGACACAGTCTGCAACTTGGAACATTTCGTGACTATATCGAAGTGGCCGAGAAAGTAAGCACGGCTTCATCTCTCTCCCAGACCACTCATGACAGCGATGAACATGACACTGTGAAGCGAGTCATCACCACCGCGACGACCAATGCACTCCGAGCAGAAGAATTCAGGCGTGCTCTTGACAAGTGAGATTTGAGAGTTCTCGCCACTTCTTTTATCCAGTCGTGTCGCAGGTTCTGGCCGGAGGCTATTCATCAGCTCGTTGACGAATGCCTTGAGCATGATGGTCTATGTGACGCGTTCTTCGCCAACGAACCAGTCTGGCAGTAACCGGCAGAATCATGGGAACGGGTGCGCGCATAGATCGCCTTACACACGAGATCCTCCTGTACAAAGGCCCAATATAGGTGACTCCCCTACGTGCGGTCTACGCCAGCTTGATCTCTACAGCGACACTGTCCTTTGAGTCTGTCCAACTGCCGTTTGTCAACTTAAGTCACGGTCCAACTGCTGGGTCCATTCGATTTGGAGCCATGCGAGAGCACGTGTTGCTGGGGGTTCTGGCTTAGCTTCCTACAGCGGCCGGCCACGCAAGCTGCCCTATACGCCACGGTGGGATTAATGGCGGTTCTATAGTAGCTCGCCACCTCCCCGGACCCGGGGGCTCATGGGGGGGGGGGGGGGCGTGGGTTGTTTTATCTGAATCCGAATTTGAATCTGACCATGAGTAGACAGTGCTCAGTTCTCCTCGGTTTCACGGAAACAAGTTCTACTCAGGAGTTCAGTTTGAGCGGATTAGCGTAAAAGTTCAAGTTAGATAGATTAAGGTTAGGTTAGGGCTCAGGGGGCGCTTATCCAGGGGGGTTCGTGGGGTACCTTGGCGAGCCGAGCCAGGTGGCGGCCGGAGGCCGCCCCCTAGCCGTCGCAGCGGAGGTTGGTCGTGAGGGTGGCGAGAGCGGCGCGGTCCGCGAGGCGGCGCGCGTCGTCTTCGAGTCGGTGGGAGAGGGCTCAGGGGCAGCACGAGTGTGTTCTGTGACATGCCACGTACCTTGGAGCTCCTACGTACACCCCAATGCCGTAAATGCAATTTTGCGCCGCTTAGCTCGACCTTAAGGGCGTATTTTTTGTCCGTGGAACAGCAGCGGGGTACCGAGCTCTCCGAGCCGCACGGAGAGATCGCTCGCTCGGCCTCCAGCGCCGGCGGAGGGTCGCGGCGCGACGAGCTGGGCGGTCTCGCCGCACCGCCTATGCATGGGTGGACTTGGGCCAGCGCATCGCCGCCGCTCTCGGACCGCTTCGAGTTTTCCACCTCGTCGGCGCGGACCCGTCGACGAACGCCTGGCGCCAAAACGACCGCCGCGAGCAGCTACAGGACGTCGGGCGCGTGAACTGCGCGCGTAGCGGCGACGCGGTAGATGGGCCTCTGGTTTGGCGAACGATTTCTCGACGGCCAGGGCCCGCACGTGTCCTGGGACCCGCGTTCGGGCGGTCGAGCGGCTCGGGCGGGAACTTCGCGGCTGGTGGAAAACTCGAAGATGGCGTCTGCTCGCGGCTCTGCGAGTTTGGTTCGACCTATACCATGCCCACGGACGCCTTGGACACCACGGGCGCGAAATTCCACGCCTTTCGCGAGATGACGTTTTCGGGTGTCGACGGGCCACGCCGGCGACGTCTTCTTGGGCCCCTGCGGACGCGTTCTCTGCGATGTCGAAGGTCTCACGGCCTGCAAGTCGACGTCCGAGACACCCCTCGACGCCGCCGACCCGCGGCGCTCGCTGTGGAACCGCCACGGCGACGACACGCTCCGCGAACGCGGCGACGAAGTCATGGTGCCAGCATGGGCCGAGAACGTCCGTGGAACGGTCGATTTAGGGTGGCTAGGGACTTGGCTAGGGGCTTGTTCTGCCGCTCGTGGCGCTCGTAAGACACAAAGGGCAGTCCGGTGGTCGGGTATGGACTTCCTACGCGACAGGCTACCAATGTAAAGCGAATTAACGAAGCGGGAGCGGCCAGGCGCCACCGTCAGTGCCGCAATCGACCGTTCCACGGACGTTTTCGGCCCATGCTGGCACCATGACTTCGTCGCCGCGTTCGCGGAGCGTGTCGTCGCCATGGCGGTTCCACAGCGAGCGCCGCGGGTCGGCGGCGTCGAGGGGTGTCTCGGACGTCGACTTGCAGGCCGTGAGACCTTCGACATCGCAGAGAACGCGTCCGCAGGGGCCCAAGAAGACGTCGCCGGCGTGGCCCGTCGACACCCGAAAACGTCATCTCGCGAAAGGCGTGGAATTTCGCGCCCGTGGTGTCCAAGGCGTCCGTGGGCATGGTATAGGTCGAACCAAACTCGCAGAGCCGCGAGCAGACGCCATCTTCGAGTTTTCCACCAGCCGCGAAGTTCCCGCCCGAGCCGCTCGACCGCCCGAACGCGGGTCCCAGGACACGTGCGGGCCCTGGCCGTCGAGAAATCGTTCGCCAAACCCAGGGCACGTCCCACCGCGTCGCCGCTACGCGCGCAGTTCGCGCGCCCGACGCCTCACAGCAGCTCGCGGCGCCGGTTCGGCGTGCGCGCGCGCCGACGGGTCCGCGCCGACGATGTGCAAAACCCGAAGCGGTCGGAGAGCGGCGACGATGCGCTAGCCCGAGTCCCGTAGCATGTCAAGGATGCCCTCGGGGCCAAGGGCGCTCCGCCGCGACGCGCTCGTGCGGCGGTAGGGCGACAGCGATAGTTTGGAGCCGAAAAAGGCGCCGACTTCGTGCCCGTGTGCTGCGGCGCCAGCCCTCGCGCCGAGCGCTGCAAAGGTCTCAAGGCGTGCCTATGGTCCTAAGGCCTCTGCCTACGCGCGCGGTGCGGCGCGGCGCGGCGCACGACTTCGGCTGCGGAGGCCGGTACCGCAAATCGGCCTCAGCGTTCACTTCACAAAAATGCGCCCTTAGGAGATCCTTAGGGAATCATCGCCGCATCTTGGGCCGCCCCCCCAACTTGGGCCGCCGGCCCTTGGCGGCGTCCTGCGGTCGCTGCTGGGGCTCTGCGTGCACTCCTAACACGTCGAACCCGTTCGGAGTAACCCCGTGTGCTGCGCCGATGCTTTGAGTGCGCTGAAATTCGTTGTGGAGCTCGCTATCCAGCCCAAAAAGCTCGCGGTGCGCCTCGAGGACAGCTCGTTGGCGAATACGATGCACGTCGCGCGTCGGCCCGTGTCGCAGGACCTCCCCTCAACGTCCATGATGATGACATCGACGCCGGCTGCCTCGCTGCAGGCGCCGAGGTCGCACGTGCCGCCGTAGGGGCTGCGTCGACCGGTTCGGCGCCGGGGCCCATGGGCTGCCCCGACATGTCTGCCAGGGCGAGCACGAGGTCTTCTCGCCCTTCCACGTCGACGACGCGTGCTCTACGCCCTCGGGGGCCAGACGGGTTCGCATCAAGGGCTCCGGCGAATCGGTGTTCCCGAGCGGCTCCGGCGCCGACTTGTACGACTGCTTCTACTTCGAGTCGTACTGGAGCTACCGCTACGCGTCGTTCCAGGCCCGCTACGGCTACGACACGGACTCCTACGGCTAGAGCAACGCCTACTGCTACTTGCCCGGGGCCTACTCGGCCACCTCGGGCGGCTACCCGCACAGGCCGCCCCGCGGCACCGCGGTCGACGCGGCCGCCATCGCCGCACGGTCATCCACCGAAGTTGTAGCTCTCCGGTCGTTTCCCGACGCGCGAGGGCCCGGTAAGAAGCGCCTTCGTCAATGCGGCTGCTTCGCGGCGACGGCGTCGCAGCATGGGATCCACCACGACGTACGTAGTGCAACATATGCCATTCGAAGTTCGACGATGGTTCTTAGGTCTTAGTTTCTTCTTCCGCGTCCGCGCGCGCCTTCGCTTCCGCGCGCGCCTTCGCGTCGCGCTTCAACGCGCGGACGAGATCGCGGATTCGGGTCTTCTTGAGGTTGACGCGGCCGTACTCCTCCAAAAGCGGCCCGATCTCGTCCTTCCTGTAGGTCGACTTGACCTTGTACGCGGGCTCCTCGTCGTGCTGCGACTGGGGCCACTTCACGAGGAGGATCAGGCTCGCGACCGCAAGGTCGCCGGGCTCCTTCGCGCCTTCCCCGGAGAGCGAATCGACGATGCCCGGGATCTTGTCCTCGCAGTCGATCACGAACTTCTCGTCCGCCTTCTTCTTGCGCTCGGCGGCGCCCGCCGCCGTGTTGGCCGCCTCGGCGTCCCTCCGTCGTTGGTCGGCGTCCTGGGCCTCGAGGGCCTTGTCGCCGGCGAGTCCTAGCGGCACCGGCGACTCCCGGTCGAACTCCCGGTCCCGCGCGCGCGGTGTGGCAATTCAGCGATCGCCCAGCGGCGCGTGGCGCGGCAACCAACGACAAGGAGCTCGTTGATTGGTCGGGAGGTGGGTGGCCGGCACCAAGAACCGGGGATGTTGGGGATGTTGTCTGATACTGTTTTTGGGGCGCCTCCTGGATCAAGCAAGAGGCGCCCGGGATAAAAGCCGCGGTACCTTATGACGGGTTCCTCGCTCGCGGGCCCGGCACCCACCCACCCACCTCCTGGCCAATCAGGGACCTCCTTTTCGTTAGTTACCTTCAAGTTGCCGCTCGCGAAATCGCCACAAGCGCGCGCGGAACCGCGCGCGCGGGTCGCGTTTGTCGCGGAGCTGCGCGGTCCTATCTCCGGTTTGCGATGAGAACAGGCACCTGCGCCGCTCGAGTCGCCGCGGCGAGAAGTGGCGTTTGCCCAGAGACTACGATAGCGACGTGAAGACACGTCGCCGAGGTGCCGCGCGACCGTCAGCCGCGGCACCGCGGGTCATGACCGCCCGCGCGCGCGCGCGCGTTACAAGTACCCATCAGTACACTGTAGATTTTCCAAATCAGGCCTCCGGACCCACCCACCCACTCGTCATGAGGTTCGAATCTTTTGTCCGTGGTCGCCTTAAGGTCTTATTATTTTGCTCGCCCGCTATGGACTCCAAACCACCGCTATCAGAGAAATTTGGGGCCGCCCACGTCCAGCTAGCTGGCCAGTTAGAATACGGGGAGGGTGTCGTTTGGCGCGGGGTATGGGAGTATGCGCGCGTCTCACGGGGTGTTGTAATCAGATTCGCCGCTCTAGAGCTTTTGACTTAGGCCTGAGACGAGATTGAAGGGTGGGCGTCTTAAGTTCGAGTACCAGAGGAAGCGGTCGGCAACGGCATTCGACGCGGAGACGCCCCAAATGGAAGATCAAGAGTTGGGTGGACAGATGCTTACACTTGAGAATGAGAACGGTGTGAGACAGGCTGGAGTCATTGAAACAAGAGTCATGCCGCAGGCGTGGGAAGGGTATTATGAAGGTTATTTCATGTTGAAAAACCACGGGCACGAGCAGCGGATATTTGAGTCGTTCGCAGTGTGGCGCTCAGAAAAAGTGTCAACATTTTCTTGCGAAAACGGTGGACAGTTCTTTGATGCGGATGCGACATTGCCTTCAACTGTAGATGCGGTCGCTTGGGGTATGGGGCGAAATGCATATGGGAAATTCTTTCTGCGCGGCGCTACCTTTTTAGATGGTTGCCTCCGCTTGGAACGATTATACGCTCTAAATAGTGACAAAAAGCGAGCGCGTCAGACGGGACTGCCTCGGGACCGACGCTTTCTTGTACCACTAGTGTCGCGAAGCAGCACACGAGAGAAGCGCCCCCCTACGCAATTCGACAACAGTGCGCCGTCGCCAGGAATCTCGACCAGTTGTGATGAGTCCCCAAAGCGTGGACGGGATTGCAAAGGGACATTTAGCTTGGGCGAGTTCGGTGATGATTCACTAAGCGACAAGGATGGTAATGAGGTGCCCAGGGATCAGAAGCCAGGTCCAAGTCATGACCATGTCCAGAAGCGGCGTTGTGACGCGTGTGCTCAGAATCAAGTTGATGATCAGGCAGATTCTTCTGATGAACTGAGTTCTGAAGATGAAGATGAAATGCCAGAATCAAACTGGCGAGCTGCCTTCATCGATGAAGACTCAGATGAGATTTACGAGGGGTGCGTGTGCCCCATCACTGGTCTGCGACACGGTCTTGGAGCCGTTGTGCACCTTGCCCATGGGCACCGCATTTATGAGGGCGAATGGCGGCATGGCCGCGAGCATGGTCGTGGCATACTTTTCTCAAGGGATCGCACGACAGTCTACGATGGTGAGTTTGCAGATGGCAAGCTCCATGGTCGTGGCACCTACTACCTACCTAGCGGGGCAGTGTATAGCGGTGAATTCCGTGAAAATATGAAGCATGGTTTCGGTAGATATGTTCTCTCACCAAATAGCAGCGGCTACGTGGGCGAGTGGCGTGAAAATGCACGCCATGGTCGTGGGCGATTTGAAGCTTCAGATAGCTCGAGCTATGATGGTGAATGGGCATTCGATAAACGGAATGGCAAAGCCACGCTCGATCTTTCGAATGGAACTATTTATGATGGTCACTGGACTGAGGGCACTTTTGAGGGCCGTGGTTCTTGCATTCACTCGGATGGAAACAAATATGAGGGTATGTGGCGCAGTGGCAAGAAAGATGGTCGAGGCTCAATTCAATGGCCTAATGGTGCATCATATGAGGGACGATTTCGCGATGACAAAATCGATGGTCAGGGTGCCCTTCTCGTCCCAAAGCCCGTGTCTCTTGCGGAAAATATAAACAAAGGTTTCCACCGCGATCATCCTGACAAAATCAAACAGTTACACATGATGCATGGCTGGCTCCTGCCGATCAAACTTAAAGCTGACATGACTCGGGTCCATCTCAAGGCTGGTTTCGACGAAGACGGCCAATAGAAAAGAGCCTTAATCTAGCTTCACCAGGAACCGCTTGCTGCGAACTTGAGACGAAACTTGTTGACACGATGCATCATTCAGGTTCGTGGTAGATCGTCCTGCGTGGCTCAACGTGTTAACAAATAATGAGCAACCAACATCCTAACTAGGACCCCATGCTCTCTTGTAGCGGGATAGAGAGATTTCGAACTGGCGGCTCGCTGGTACAGAGTAGAGAGCTAGAGAGATTTCTACCTTGCTAGTGGCTCGCTAACAGAGACGCCGGTGTACCGCCACTGCGTAACCTCGATAGTTCACCCTCAGACAGCAGGGCAGCCTCACTAGGCTGTCCCCCTGTCCTAGAGTACTATCTCGCTAGGTGTTGGAGCCCACCGCTCGGCCTCTCTGCGTAGGCCTCGCGCACTCTTTTCCACGGCCGCCGCGCTCTCTCAGTGTCCCCCGCGCTCGACTGCAGGGGGAGAATGGCACCGCCTGAAGACGAAGCGAAGTAGCAACCTAGCCCCATCGAAGAAACTGCAGCCGCAGCAGCGGAAGCTGCTGCAGTGGCCGACGCAGCTCTAAGAGCTCAATTTTTAACGGGCCCTCATACTACTGACAGTCAGAAGTTGGATGCTGTTGGTATCGTGCCAGTCACGGTGTTCCTACAGATCCTGGGGAACTTTGCTACCACTGGCAACCGTGACCCCAGCTCAGTTTCCAGCCGAAGAGGATTAAGCCACATCCTTAGGTTCCATCCTAAGTAGGTGAATGAGCAACCTTGAAGACACAAATATCCACTGTTTGGCTTGATATGTATCCACACTATTCCGTGACGACGGTGTCCATGTCTCGCCTGTCGATCGTTTCAGCTTTTGTTTTGTTGGGAGTGGTTGGGTCGAGCTCCGTTGTGCACGTACGCCACGGCGTCCTTACCCAGACCGGTTCTAAACATCACATCCTTCATAGACCCACAACATTGTGGAAGGGAAAATCTTGGCCGAAGAATTGTTAGACTCCGCGATGATGACCATGCGGACGACGAAAGCGGGAGAAGAGAAGCTCGACAAAAATCCATCGCTCTACCAACAGTACCTAGCCAAGCTCAAGGCGGGGACTCGTAGATTCCTTGTTGATTCCCAACATGGAGGAAGAGAAGCTGTTATGCCTTCGCACGAGTTTGTTGCGCCTTCTGGAGCGCTAATGCGGTCTTACAATTCTGTTGATGGAATGCGATTGGCGAAGGCGATCCTCTCCAATTCTGCTGAATCTATGACTTCAATTTAAATCCAGCAATGAAATCTCAAGTTCAAGTCAAAGCTGAGGCGGGCCGACCCGGCACCCCCCATCACCACCGACCGCCCACCCG